ACTCACAATCAAATTGAGGGTGATTCATAATCAAATTGAGTGACTTCCAATCAAATTGAGTGACTTACAATCAAACTGAGTGACTTCCAATCAAATTGTGTGACTTCCAATCAAATTGAGTGACTTACAATCAAATTGAGTGACTCACAATCAAATTGAGTGACTTACAATCAAACTGAGTGACTCACAATCAAATTGAGTGACTTCCAATCAAATTAAGTGATTCATAATCAAACTGAGTGACTTCCAATCAAATTGAGTGAATTCCAATCAAACTGAGTGACTTCCAATCAAATTGAGTGACTTCCAATCAAATTGAGTGACTTCCAATCAAATTGAGTGATTCATAATCAAATTGAGTGACTTCCAATCAAATTGAGTGACTTACAATCAAACTGAGTGACTCACAATCAAATTGAGTGACTTCCAATCAAATTAAGTGATTCATAATCAAACTGAGTGACTTCCAATCAAATTGAGTGAATTCCAATCAAACTGAGTGACTTCCAATCAAATTGAGTGACTTCCAATCAAATTGAGTGACTTCCAATCAAATTGAGTGACTCATAGTCAAATTGAGTGACTTCCAATCAAATTAAGTGATTCATAATCAAATTGAGTGACTTCCAATCAAATTGAGTGACTTCCAATCAAATTGAGTGATTCATAATCAAATTGAGTGACTTCCAATCAAATTGAGTGACTTACAATCAAATTGAGTGACTTCCAATCAAATTGAGTGACTTCCAATCAAACTGAGTGACTTACAATCAAATTGAGTGACTTCCAATCAAATTGAGTGACTCACAATCAAACTGAGTGACTCACAATCAAACTGAGTGACTCACAATCAAACTGAGGGACTCACAATCAAACTGAGTGACTCACAATCAAATTGAGTGACTTCCAATCAAATTAAGTGATTCATAATCAAACTGAGTGACTTCCAATCAAATTGAGTGACTTCCAATCAAATTGAGTGACTTCCAATCAAATTAAGTGACTTCCAATCAAATTGAGCGATTCATAATCAAACTGAGTGACTTCCAATCAAATTGAGTGACTTCCAATCAAATTGAGTGACTTCCAATCAAATTGAGTGATTCATAATCAAATTGAGTGACTCACAACAACAAAATGGCTAGGCTGATTGATTTGATATTTCTTTCTCAATATGAATCTTGAACAGTTGAGCTATATCAGGTGACTGCATGTTTTTTTTCATGGATATTTCGTATATTTAATGCTTAATGTAATTTTATTAATACAGTACCTGCCATAACTACTACAAAAGGGTTCCAGCTGGTCCAAAGTCATGCAATAGCACATTATATTGGACGATCCACTGGAATGGAATGTGACTGTGAGGATCTGCACTTCTGTGATGTTGTGTCTCAAGGTGTTGGTAAGTTTTGCCAGAACATACCGTAAAAACTCGATTAATTCACAGTCTCTATTAATTCGCGCACCCATTTTATTTTTGAACGCTAATTTTTAAATGTATCCTTTTAATTCGCGGCGTTCAAAAACATGCTTAACATTGTATCCTATTAATTCGCGGGCCAGAATAAAGTGGATAACTCAGAATATATTGCATGAAGACATTAAAAATATACATTTTGTTTGAGTTTTTATGTTACCAGTACTTGGTGTAGCCACAATCGCAGATGATCTCCGTCATCACATCCTTTCATTTAGCAAGCAGTTTAGGTTCGGTAAAGATTTGACCTGAAAAAAATCATTACCCCACGACACTACAGATGTTGGGCAAGAGTATTACTTAGTCGATAAAAATCCATCGGTCAGCACATCGATTACGAATTTCCGTGATGGAAAGCTTACCACAGGGCTCATGTATGTTCTATAAATTTAACCTTGCACACATAATCTTGTACTGACGTATTTTTTGTCCAAGAAAGACGTTCCTCTTCATTTAACCCCCAGTTAACTCTTCGCGTCCATGGTAGATCTTGAAAGATCTTTTGAACAAATGACAAGTAACTATATTGATTTGCGTCAAGCTGGGTGGCCCGAATTTAAATATCAGTGCATGAACTCTGGAGGTCATTGCCCAATGCCGCACCTAATTCAAACGCGTGGTTAAAAAAAACTAATTATCATGAAAGCAATATATTACGAAGTTGAAATATTCAGAGCCGGTACAATATTGTAAACAAAATTTGCGTAATTAGAAAAGCAGTGCACTAAGTAAACGACGTTGATATATTCAAAGCCAGTACAGAGTTGCATACAAGTTGCGTAATTTACAGTACCTTCGGATATAATAACAATTTTACTAGATTGACGTGCGGGGCATGAAAGAAAAACATTGCTAAGGTAACGCGCCAGATCAGCGCGTGACTTGAGG